TTCGAACTCAAAAGCGATTGGACAGTTGAAAAGGTTCCCTCGTAAGACGATAACTACTCTGTGGTAATAAATTGCGAAATTGATACTTTCTGGCTAAATATATTTCATTTGACAGAGCTTCGATTGGCAATGATGTGTTCATGCTATCGAGTTTTGCGTTCGTTTCAAGTTCGAAATACGGTACTTCTATTGGCCACATCAATGAGACAACAACCGAATTTGCAGTGATGTTAGTTTGTGCTTGTTCACTAGGTATCGATGTGTTTGCCATTTTAATTAACCGATAGCAACTTTTGTCTCGAAAATTGAAGCGATTGGTTTGCTCCATAATAATACGTTGTGTTATATTGAAGAGCGATAGCATAGTATATCGGGTGTCCCAGAAGTAAGGAAACACAGAAAAAATTGAAAATCTTCATTACGGCTTGAGCAAACAAGCTAATTTTTTTATTAATGATAGAAGCATGTTCAAGCTTTATATCCACAAAGACATGCCTAACGAGACTCTTTGTTAAGTATCGCTATTGATCTTAAGAAAAAAAAATTACTTTTTCACAGATAGGAAATAAAATAATATACTTAACAAAGAATCTCTCTAGGCTTGTCTTTATAGATAAAAAGCTTGAACATGTCTCTGTCACTGATAAAAAATCAGCTCATTTGCTCAAGCTGTAATTAAGATATTCAATTTTGTTTTCGATAAAGTGACTTTTGCAGCGTCCTTTATATTATTTTATTTCCTATCTGTGAAAAAGTAACTTTTTTTTCTTAAGATCGATAGTGACACTTAACAAAGGGTCTCGTTAGGTATGTCTTTGTGGATATAAAGCTGGAATATGCTTCTATCATTGATAAAAAAATTAGCTTGTTTGCTCAAGTCGTAATGGAGATATTCAATTTTTTGTGCTTCCTTACTTTTGGGACACCCGGTAGATAAAGCAAAAAATTGTCATCAGTATCTTTTATAAACGAATTGACATCAACTAAGACAAAAATGCCCTTAATAATTCCCAACCGTTTTTCACTTTTTGAAGAAGAAGCAACGTCTTTGGACTTAGATTCTATCATCAATACTGATCCAGTTATTACTGTTGGTTCTCATCGTTATGATATTATGTATACATCTGTTTATTACAATGCACCACATCTCTATGCTTTAGAATACAATGGGAATGAAAAAGCTTTAGCACATCTACCCAGGTCAAAAAATCTGACAGCAAATCTTGTACGATTTGGTATGAATCTTACAAAAAATCGTAGTCTCTGAAATCTTACATCAATCCTTATTGCAAGGTTTCTATCAGATCCTACCGTCGCATAAGATTTTCTAAAATCTTACAGTAAGATTTCAGAGACTACGATTTTTTGTACGATTCGTACCAAATCGTACAAGATCATATATGATCAGACGCAGAATCTTGTCCGATCTTAGTGTCTGATTGTTTGCCCTGGGAATAATACTTACACCTAG